GGATACTTCACCTTCAGATGGGAAGTGGACACCACCGCTCCTAGCTTGTTCAGGGTCGGCCTGCCGATCAGTATACTATAGGATGACTGCGCGTTGACTACCAAATACCGAACAACCACCGTCTTCATCTGAGCACCCTGGCCGAAAGTCGTTTCCAGGTCGACATATCCCCTTGCGATGATCTGGTCTCCTGCAAAACCCACTAGAGTTCCTGCATAACATCTGGGGCTGTTATGAAGACTTCATGTAATAAATACACGAAATCATGAATAACAAAATATCCTTATTACATAATTACAAAATATGGTTAGTCTATTTAAGTATTTATGTTGTTTACACATTCCAACAGAAACAAGTAAATGAAAGTACCACCTCAAAGAATTAAAACATGTTTATGACCTTGAATCATGTGTAACTAGTTATTGACTGAATTTTGGATAAATGTATTTCCAATTTAGGATATATTGATCACTTGACTGATTAAAGATGCCAAAGGAGTAACTACTTTATAAGAATTAAAAGCCAAAATGGAAAACGTATACCAGGAGATCTTTTTTCTTTTGCAATTTTATCTTCGATAAATATTAAGGAAAGTGAGGCCTACCTATCTCTCTCAAATTGTCTGCTCTGCTAGTTTTTGAGTTTGGAATCTAGCTCCTCATATTAAGATTTCACATTATGCTTAGTGATTCTTTCTTATCTACCTTTGTATTGTTATCTGGCCACAAAAAAATGTTGCCAATCTAATGAGTTAATTATCAATGCATTTGACGTTTATATATATATATATATATATATATATATTTATTTATTTATTTATTTTTCAGGGCTCTGGGAAAACTATATTAGCAAGAACTGTGGCAAAATCCCTTGAAAATCGTGAGGACATCTTAGCACACATGTATTAATATTAATTCTACTTTAGTTGTTCCTTTATGATTTTCCCCATTTTTCTATGTTCAATTGCTCCTGTTTAGATTTGAAAATGTCAGTATTCGATGTTATGTAGAATTTTTGTTTCCTGTTCAAAACTTGCCTTGGAGAAGGTCCCAATTATTCGCCAAGAACTTGCAAACCATGTGACAGAAGCGTTATACCATGCTCCTTCTGTTGTCATCTTTGATGATCTTGATAGCATAATTTCTGCCCCCGACTCTGAAGGATCTCAGCCTTCAATATCTGTTGCTGGACTCACAGATTTTCTTGTTGACATCATGGATGAATATGGTGTAAGAACTATGCCGTTATTGTTATTTATTGCTGGCTCTCTGAATGTTATGTAATATCATTGATACTTGTAACAACTGTGTGTCAAAATATTGATGAGAATTTTGGCTTTCGGAAGTGTGGGCCTGTGGTTGATAGCCATTATCCATCCTTAAGTCATCAATAGGTTAGTTCAATTAGCTATCAGTTTTTGATAAATGAATTCATTAATGGGGGAGAGGAAGACTTTTTCTACTTATCTCATGTCTATAATATTTTAGTATGATAATGCATATATAATTAAATACAGACAGAAAAGGAGGACAATTGAGGAGAGGAGAGATAAATAGATATCTTGATTTGGAAGAATGAGGAGAACATGAAAGAAAAAACAAAAAATCAACTTAACATGTACTCAGACACACCAAACATATTTGAGTAATAGAGTTTCTCTTTTGTTTGTATCAGCATAGTCTTGCAACTTGTTATACGCTGAGTGGCTGTTGCCACATCAGCAAAGTTTGTTATTCTGTTAGGTGTTCTGGTAGCTGATTGGCTGGTGCCACATCAGTAGAGTCTGTTAGCTTCTCTTTTATTCTTTCTGTAACTACATAAACTGATCTCTTCTTTTATAGGGATCAGAATATGAATAACAAGTACAAAGATTACTGAAAATCTCTCTAGGTTTCTTTTAGTTTCCTCAATTTTTACAAAAAAGGGCCCAGTAGCAACCAAATGGGTAAAACCTGTGTTTTGAAAACTGGATCAAACCAACCGGTTGGACCAAAAAACTGGTAATTTGGCCAGCTGAGTGGTTCAAATGAACCACAAACTGTCCTAGCAAAAAACCAGTCAAAGAATCCGGAAACTGGTCAAAAATGGGTTTACAGTGGGTCAATGAATTTTTTTAACACTCTTGTTTTAACTTTTTTCTTAAAAAAATAAAATCAACCTAAAGTATTTGTCATTGTTTTTAGTATTCTAAATGTAAAAATGTTTTATTAATAAATGTTGATGCATATTGTTAAAACTTAGACTAAACTATTATAATCTATTTCATTTGAAAATTTGTATATACTTTAAATTTTAAGAATCCACAATTTTTTTTTTAGTATTATAAAGTTATGATATTATCTTTCTTTAATATTATTTTATTAATATTAGTGTAACCATAGTTCAACCAGGTTGAAGCATTAAACCTTGTCCTAGTGGCTTGACCTATTCAATGATCGGTTTAGTTTTAAAAAATTGGGTAAAACAGATGATGTCCCAAGATAGATGTGGAATAATTACTAAGAAGAGAAATAGAAACTCAGTAAAAAGGTGTGAAAAAATGAGAGGAGATTTTATGAATGTGCTTGAGTGATTTTTTCTCTCAGCGGATTGATCTATTTATAATAAGAATCAGAATGGTTACTAAGACAATAAATGACTACAACTATTTTCAAGAGAACAATTAAAATATCACTACTTCCTAAGATACATTGAACTTAGCTAAACATTAACTAAGCTACTTGTGAAGGGTAATAAATATTGAATGCTCATATTTCCAACAAAAGTGATGGAATTTCAGTTCTGATGTTGAGCCATGCTGCCACAACACAGACAAGAAAGGCAGAACTCATTTGAGAGGATGCTGAACTATGCAATACCAAAATGAATGAGGAAAAAGGAAGCTTATTCAGCTTGCCTGAGATTTGGCCTGTTGTTTCACCATCAAGGTGAACTCACCTCCTGTCCATAGTAGTACTGAAAGGGCCTAAAAATTAAAACAGAGTGAGCAACTGTATCACATATCGTGTAAAAATCACCTCCTGTATCACTGTATCACGTATTACTTGTATACAGGAGGTGAGTTGACCTTCATTGGAAATGGGTATTATTTAAAACAGAATGAGCTACTGCTTTACCTTAAAAAAGTGATAGAGCTAACAGGAAATGGGTATTATTTAGTATCAGAGAAAAATTGGAGCTGAGCTCCTTACAGCTGCAGAAATTGCACTGAAAATATAGAGCAAAAATAAAAAAATGAAAACCATGACTGTCTCCAAAGTCATAGCCTATACCAACATCAAAATTTACCTCCACCCTTTCTCTCTCCCCCTCTATTTTATGTAATGTTCTCTCTCTCTTCTCCCCTTGATTATCAAATTTCCTCATCCTCTTCCCCCATGCCACCTATAACAATTTTGTTATGACATTCTCTCTCTATGCTAACTGAATTTTACACCTGCCCTTTTATGTCATTCTTCTTTTTCCACTCATAAACCAACAGCCCTTTGTTATTTGGACCATAATTTCCTCTTCTGCTGTACTCATGTACTATGGGCCTATCAACAAGACATGAAGATATCCAAGTCTTCTTGGTATCACTATGATGTTAAGCTAATTGCTTTCTTTCATGGGGCTATTTTTGTCAATGTGCAAGTAGATTTCCTGCCTTTGCTTTATGGACTGGTTCTTCCTTCCTTTTTTTTTCTCCCATTTCTTGTTACCTTTGAGGGTATATCTTGCCATCTTGTTTTGTACTTCCCTTCTCTTATTTTCTCAGAATATTTCCTACAAAATTTCTTAGAATGTGAGTTTAGAGCCTATTTCAACCATACAAAATCAAGTTGTAAGGTGAGGAGTGAGGACTGTCCAAGTTGCATAAGCTCTATTTAAGCCATATCTCTAGTCAATGTGAGACTAAACCACCCAACATCTGTATCCTGTCGGCTGCACTCTATGAGCTTAACTCAGCCTAAGAGTGACTGCAATTAAGGTGACTCTCCAACAAAACTAATTTTCAACCAAAGATATTTTTGTAAGTGTACTAAATACAAATATTTTCCTTATTAAGACATTCTAGCGAAAAACAGAGTTATTTTACTCTTATCTAGAAATAAATGCTGTCTTTCTGAGGGTTAACGTGTAACTGAAGCACATACTATAAAATTTGCAAAAGATTAAATGTATATGAGATCATCACTTTGTTGCTCAATCAACTTAGTATCCATTTTTCTTTTCCAAATACCATTACGAATTTATAGCCTTTGTGGCACACTGAACAGGAGAAGAGGCGAAAATCATGTGGATTTGGACCAATAGCCTTCATAGCTTCCATACAATCCCTAGAGAAGATCCCACAACCTTTGAGCTCTTCAGGTTTGCTGTTTTTGTGCATAAAATATTTATTATGTTGCAGTAAAATCCAAAAAGAATATTGACCATGATTTTCTTTCATTATTTTATATGCATTTTATTCTCACCTTCTGGCTGCTAATTTCTTGATTCACTTTTTATTAGGACGGTTTGACTTTCACATAAAGCTGCCTGCTCCTGCAGCTTCTGAGCGCAAGGCTATGTTGAAGCATGAAATACAGAGGCGTCACTTGCGATGCGATGATGACATCGTGCTTGATGTGGCTGTAAAATGTGATGGTTATGATGGTTATGATCTGGTATTCCACTTCTTTTAGTGTAGACATTTGTTATTTACTAGGCTTTACTGTTGTAAATTACTAATCGTAAGTTTTGTTGTGTTACCATGTTCCGTTTGTTATATGATCCATGTGTAGGGAAAAATGTGTGTGTGTACATATATTAATATTGAGAGAGAGAAGAAAAACAGGGCAGTTTATGGTATGGACATTCTGCTGCAGATTTCTTGCTTTACATCATCAATTAAGAGTTTTCAGACACAGAACAAGACTAGAAAAACAGGACAGTTTGTGGATAGACTCTGAAGAGAGAGAGAGAGAAAGAAGAAAAGTAGGACAGTTTATGAGATTTCTTGGTGTCTGAGTTTGAGTTGTTCTATTTTCTTCTAACATCACATTGTCACAGTGTAAGCCCTTTTTTGGTGGTAGGGGAAGAAGGGGGAGGGGGTGAGGTAGTTGGTGCATTTGTTCGTGAACCATTCAGCGAAATATTCCTGCATAAATTTGGTTAGTAAATGGTCAAGATTAGAGATAAGGAATTTAAAATTACTTCATCTTAGCTTGTAAAACTCAGACAATCCTGTGCCTGCCCAACTTAATTATTATTTCAGTGGATTTGCATTTTATGAACACTTGCTTCTGTAGAAGTTTGATTGTCTTTGTGAATATTAATAATGCATAAATCATTAACTGTCAATAACTATCTCTGAGCTGCATGTATGCAAATATTTAATAATTTCATTCTTTACAGGAAATATTAGTTGACAGAACTGTCCATGCTGCTGTTCGCCGTTTTCTGCCATCTAATGCTTCCATTTATGAGCATGAGAGTCCTTCTTTACTAAGGGAGGATTTCTCTCAGGCAATGCTTGATTTTCTTCCAGTTGCAATGCGTGATGTCACAAAATCAGCATCTGATGATGGCCGTTCTGGATGGGATGATGTGGGTGGCCTTGTTGATATTCGAAATGCTATTAAGGAGGTCTGACTTCATGAAATATTAGGATGTTGTTTTCTCTCCTTATTTTATGTGTCCTGTTTTGTTCTTTCAGATTTTAATTAATATTATTACATTTGTAAGAACCAACTCTTATACATGATATCTAAAAAGGCATTATTATAGTGCATGCTAATAATCAGCTCCACACTTCTTACAGTGCTTTACTGTGGTTTCTTTTTGCTTTGCAACAGTTCTTATAAACTTGTGGTTTCTTTGTGTAATTTCTTATCCTCTAAAGCAGTTGTAATATGCTTTCTTTGTTTTAATTAATTTCTTATTGATCAACCAAAAATAAAAAGTTGGTAAGTGAAGATGGAAATGTACTGGATAATCTAGAAAGATGTAGTAGAATAGTAGGAAAGCTGAATTATCTCAGTCAGTTGACTCAGTTCATGTGATCACCTAGAACTGCTCATTGGGATGCTAATATTCACATTCTAAAATATCAGAAAGGAGGCTCAGTAAGTGGGTCTCTCTCAAAATCATGGTGGTCAAGAATAGAGGGATTCTCTGATGCACAATGATACTTGTAGTTAGTTGAACAATAATTTAATTATTTTTGCTTTTTGTAGGATGTTTACTGTTAGATTAATATATTTTGTATTATTAATATTTGTCTTGTAAAAGTTGTTTTTTGTTATATTTTCACTGCTGTAGCTGGCTGTCATAGGGATCAGTATGTCATCCCTTTCTTTTTTGTCTGGTTGTACTCATTATACCTTTTCTGATATATATATATATATATATATGTATATATATATATATATGTATATATATATATATGTATGTATGTATGTATATGAAGCTGAGTGAGTGAAAGAGACATAGAACACTCAAGCTCATTGTTTTTACTTTATGCTTGTACTTTTGTATGATTTATGTTGGTTAAATTTTTTCCAGATGATAGAGTTACCATCAAAGTTCCCGAAAACTTTTGCTCAAGCACCTTTGAGGTTGCGGTCAAATGTCCTTTTATATGGTCCTCCTGGTTGTGGCAAAACTCACATAGTTGGTGCTGCTGCTGCTGCTTCTTCACTTCGATTTATATCAGTGAAAGGGCCAGAACTGTTAAACAAGTATATTGGTGCTTCTGAACAGGCTGTAAGAGACCAATAACACCTTCTTTAGGCTATTATTGGTGTATGCTGTTTTTGAATTTAGTATGTTTCTTAATCTGTGTATTTTCTCAATTTCTCTGTATAAAAGGTTTTTCTGAAGGTTATTACATCTTAGTTGACTCAAAACTAGCTTTTTACAATGTCACCATGTGAGCCATTTGATCATGAATGTCTATTATTAGGTGACATAAGCTGTTTCTTTTGGTGTGGTCTATAATATTTTTTAATCAAATTGAAGTTATTGATTTTTTTAGAAGGTCTGAGTGTTGAATGATGGTTTCAGGTTAGGGATATATTCTCTAAAGCAGCTGCTGCAGCGCCATGTCTACTTTTTTTTGATGAATTTGATTCTATTGCCCCCAAGAGAGGGCATGACAATACTGGAGTAACTGATCGTGTTGTTAATCAAGTCAGTATATATTTGTCACTTTTCGGAACTTATACTTTGTTGAATAAAATCTGACTTCAATATGTTCAATTTTTGCAGTTTCTGACTGAGTTAGATGGTGTTGAGATTTTAACTGGTGTATTTGTGTTTGCTGCAACCAGGTTAGTTTCTCAAACATGTATTCATTTGTCAAAAAGTATAATTTAAATTTTAGATAAGCTGAAAGGATGTAAAGTTAAAAGAAGACTGTAGGTTCAACCTTGATTTGCTTCTGGCTGATACTTAATTTATAATTTATATTAGTTAGTTACAGGTGGAAATTTCTGGTACAAGCTTTATGGCCACTTTGGACAAATTTCTCAACAAACACTTATGAAATAAGAGGCAAAATGAATATAGGCCTGCAACTACAATATAATAATGCAATTTGTTAGAAACCGAAGACATTTTATTGATAGAACAAAGAAGAGGAGAAAGAATACTCCTCCTCTAAGGATTTCTCCTTCACACAGGATTTCTCATTTCATAAAGGGAAAAGTTTAATCCTCACGTTACAAGATAAAATGAAACCTTTTATTTAACTAACTAATAATTATAACATCTTAGTCTTCATATATATAAAGCAAAGTAGTTCTCCAATTGTGATTTCCTTTCCATTTTTCATTTAATACTCTATATACCCACTACAACTACTCTTTATTAAATGCTTTTTGTTTACAACTCGTAACTAATCAATTTAATTCATTTATTTAATAGAAGTTAATTATGCTTGCAACTATGTCAAATTCTTCATTTCCAGTGCTAAATAACAAAAATAATCTTGAGCCTCCTTAACTCCTCCTCCATTTAGCTAACTTTAAATGATTTGTATATTCCCAATAAATAAATTTTGTAGACAATTTTCATGTACAACACAAATAATAATGTAAATAAATAACAAAAATAATATTTTTTTTTATTGTATGCTTAATTGGTCTTTTTTCTTTGTTATGTATAATTTATTAGCAAGTTATGTCAATTTAAATAAGTTGGAGGAATTGACATATGCCATATCTTATCTTAATATATATAAATTGAAGTAGTTCTCCAATTGTGATTTTTGGCCCATTTTCCATTTAATACTCTATATACCCACTACAACTACTCTTTATCAAATGTTTTTTTGTTTACAACTATTAACTAAATAATTCAATTTATTTATATAATGACAGTTAATTATGCACGCAACCATGTCAAAATCTTTGTTTATAGTGCTAAATAATTAAAAGATTTGAGCTTCTTCAACTACTCCATTTAGCTAGCTTTAAATGATTTGTATGTTCCCAATAAATAAACTTTGTGGACAATTTTCATGTACAGCACAAGTAGTAATGTAAATAAATAACAAAAATAATATTTTTTTATTTGTATGTTTAATTATTCTTTTTTTTTTTTTCCTTTCTGTTATGTATAATTTATTAGCAAGTTATCTAAATTTTAAAAAGTTGGAGGAAGGATGTTTTTGTTTATTATGTTCTATACTTTGATCACATCTTGCAATGGGAAAAAGTAATGGGGCATTTTTTCTATAAGGGGTAGCTTTGAAAATAACTTCTAAATTTAGTTATTTGTTTGAATTAGTTGTATATTGGATTTTTGTTTTAAACTACTAATTTTAAGATAATACATCATAATTTATTGTTAGTTTCAAAAATTAATTTATATATTTAAGAATAAATTATATCAATAAATATATCAACAATATTTGATCATAATTGATAATGAAGGTAAAAAGTTTGCATGTGAATTAAGAAGAGACAAGAAAAAAGTAGAAACTCATCTAAAAACTAAGTGAAAGAAATAGTGTGGCAAACAACTTAAAAAAATTGAAATTCATGTTGTGAAATCAAATTTTCTATTAAAGATTGAAGCTAAACTTATGTCTACTTGAGGGATTTAAAGGGCTCCTAATTAAATTTCAATCTTCTAATTTTGTTTTATGTTTATTTTGGAACAATTGATGCATTAATTATGCCCTTAATTTGAAGTGTAAAATTAAATCAATATGTCTTTTAGGTTGTGATTGTATGTTATGATTTACACATTTTTGAATATGATTATCATATAGTAATATGTTAGGCTTTACAGTTAGTGGGGGAAAACAATTTTTTTTCTTTCCTTTTTGTAATTAAAAAACAACACAATATACGTTAATGATATATTAATAATATTTTTAAGCTGATTAAAAAAAAAGTCTGTGTATCACACATGTTACCAATCTAGTTATTATAACCATTGCACCTTATGCTAACTCCTAATTGAAGTAAATGTTAGGTGACAAGAGGGGGGGGGGTTGAATTGTTGTTTCTTAAAAATCTATTCTTTAAGAAAATATGTTCCTTAGAAGATGATTCTTTTGAGTGTTCCAAAGCTTAGTTTATTTCAAAACCTCTTTTTGAGTAGTTTTAGAGTAAATTTGTTCTTTAGAAAATGAGTCTTTTGAGTATTTAAAACATAGTTTTTCTTATAAAAACTTCTTCAATATAGTTTTAAAGAAAACACTTATAGATTATGCAGTTCAGATATATAATGTAAAGAAACAACTGCAACAAGTAAAATAGATAGAGTAAGGGAGATTGCAAACTGTAATTTATATTGGTTCATCCCAATCTTGGGCTACATCCAGTCTTCACACACTTTATGAGATTTTCCACTATTTCAGCAACTGCTATTTAGTTTACACCACCAGCCATGTGTTGGGACAAGTTCCACACTACACAACCACCTACTGTTAGTGTTCCACACTTAGCTACCAACTAAGATTTTTCCCTCAACTACCTATTGAGATTCCAACACTCACAACCACATGCTATGAGTTTATACAACGAACCGGTCGAAGCTTTTTACTCCTTCCTACACAGGATTTGTGTATTCTAGCACACAACTATGGTTACAGTAGATTCTCCTAACCAAGAGCTTCCACTAAGGAAGATTTACATCTCATTTTTTTATTACAAGAGTGTTTACAATATGCAGAAGTGGAGATCTTTGAAAATAGAGCATGAAGTAAGGATTATAGCTATGGAAGCTTGTATTTTGATTACTCTCTTTGATCTTGCTTCCTTTGGAACAATTGCCTTGATCCTCCTTTTATAGACTCCAAAATAGGTTCGTTGTAGCTAGCTTAGTTTTTAAGCAGTATTGACATAATCTTGTACTTTCACTTTAGTATTGTCATCAAATCCTTCAAAAGCCGTTTGCTTATGAACCTTCCTTTTGAGCTTCCTTCTAAGCTTTCTTTTGAGCAATTTTCTAAGCTTCCTTCTAAACAACCTTTTGAGTAGGATCTTCAGTACCAGTCTTCTGAGAAATTGAACTTGAACTGAAGCTTCTTGATGCAAAGTTCAAAGAAGAGGACTTTCTGTACAAGGTCTTCAGGGCATCTTCCCTAACAGAAGATGTTCATTCTTGAAGAACTCCCTTGATTCAACAGTCTTTTGCACATACAATCACTAGGACTATGGTGTTACTTATCAGCTCAAGTTTCTTGGCTACTTTCTAAGGATGCTTTTGAGCTGAAACACTAGAGTTTCTGAGTACTAACAAGATAAATCTGAAACACTTGAACAAATCTTGTTAGTAGTTCACATGAGAACTCTTCATAATTAAAACTTGAAACTAAGATTTTGTCATTTTTAAAACATCCATTAAGGCAGGATTCAACACTAACAAATATTGATATATGAGATATTTTAATATATTTGGACATTTGTTCTAAGTTGGAAAAATGCTTTGGCTATGGTATGCTTATAGTTGATCCTTGTTTGTTCTGACTAAGATTCTGTTGAATACAATCTTAAAAGTGCTTTTGAGAGCTTCTTTATTGGAAAATACTCTTTATTTCTAACAGAGAAGCTCTCAAAAGCACTTCTAGTTTGTATCTAAACATGTTCTAATTTTTAGATATTAAGAACAAATGGGAAATGGATATTTATTATGGGCTATTCTAATATCCGGTTTTCATGTCAAGCAGTAGACCAGATTTACTTGATGCAGCGCTGTTGAGACCTGGTAGGTTAGATCGTCTTCTATTCTGTGACTTTCCATCTTGGCATGAGAGATTGGAAATTCTTACAGTACTTTCTAGGAAGGTATGCACAAGCATAACTATATGATAATGGTCCATGTTTTGTTTCTTGCTTGCAAACTGCATATTATGTTTTGTTCTGATTTTTACATTCAAGTTAAGAACTCAGGCTATCAGTTTGTTAGATCCCCTAGTATCAATAGGAGTAACTGTTAGTTAGAGAGGGAAAGGCAGACCCCCACCTCCACCCCACCCTACCCCAAATGTCAGTTAGAACATTATAAATAATTGGATGGAAAAAATAGCGAGTCTTTTGGTTTTAGAGTGGAAATTGAGAGCGCCCAGGTCTCTGGAAGAGCTATGTACTATTGTGTATCTTCATTTCCTCATTTCTGATATTATATCTCACTAATACTGATACATAGCCAAGGACAAAGGTTTCTGTCTATAAACATTCGATTTCTATCAAATGGTATCAAAGTTCTCTATTCATGATGCAAATGAAAATGGAGACCAGGTTGGAATTCTCATAGAAACGTCCTTAAGATTAGATGAATAAGATGAAGAGAGATTGACAACAAGCAAGGAATGTTATGGATCTTCAACAAGTGCAATCAGAAGAAGCTTGAAGACATTGTTGAAGGGTTTCCTTGCAATTTTCAAGGAGATGGGAGCCTAATGAACCTTCCTAGAGGGACCAACACTGCAGGTGCTGGGTGTGATGGAAAATGAGGGTCATGGTTGGGTAATTGGCCAAGAATGGGATCAAGTCTGGAAACAGGATAGGAGCACTGGAGGAAGCTCGATATTCCTTTATTTAGGACATGATGTGTATGGATGAGTCAATAGGGCGAGTGGTATTTTGAGATAAAGGGGTAATTGGACGAAGAGAAACTGCAATCTAGTATGGTGGCCTTGGAGGGTCTAGCCCTATTGCAGTTCAAGTGGTAGGAATTTTGTTGGGTGTTACTGTTGATGAAAATATTAAATTCCACCAGAGATATGTACAGACTGCAGAATGTCAAGTTGGTGGTTACCCCACCCTAATTTTGAATTTTAATATTTCCAAGTTTGACCGGGTAGCCTTACAGCTTGTCTCACTCCCTTTATTAGTAGCGCGAGTTTATGTTTTTACCTCAATTATGTAATGATTCTGCTGACGTTGATGGTTTATCAAACATACTCCTTTCTCAATTTAATTAAATCAAGTCTTTCTAATTAATGCAGTTACCAATGGCTGATGATATTGATTTGGCTACAATAGCTAATATGACAGAGGGATTCAGTGGAGCTGATCTCCAAGCTCTCCTCTCAGATGCGCAGCTTGCAGCAGTTCATGATGTTCTAGACAATGTGGATGCCTCTAGGCCAGAAAAAACACCAGTTATTACTGATGCTCTTCTGAAGTTCACAACGTCCAAGGCTAGACCATCTGTCTCAGAACAAGAGAAGATAAGACTTTACAGTATATATCACCAGTTCTTGGATTCAAAGAGATCTGTTGCTGCTCAGGTTTTTTCTTGTCTCTCCCTCCTCTCCCTCAATCTGTTTCTGTTGAGTCTGTTGGGGGGGTTATGTTTAGTAACATATGTTGCAAGAGGTGGGCCTGCTGCTAAAAGATCTGAGGGCAAATGCCCCCAGTCAACTTTAGCTTGCATTCATATAATTCATAGGATGTTATGCTACTCCTGTGAACTAATATGAGTTTCGTTTTATAATATCTTCAGTTTGACAGAATTGTGTTCATACTGTGTTTATGGATGAGTAGGAATTCACACTTGAGCTTCAAGTCACGTTAAGTGAAAAAAGTTAGCTCCGTTAATTGAAAACTCTAGCATCTTCAATTATTATTTCAAAGAGCCGACATAGCAATTGTAGCTTTCTCATTAGTCAAGACAAAAAAGAAATCTTAATATAAGTTAAAAATATATTAAATGCCGTAATATTTAGACTTATATATTTAAACTCTCTAAATCTGTCACAAATTATCCTGACTCTCGAGGGATTGAATATGATAAAGTACGTGCACTCTTAACTTTGAAGGAGATGATAGAGGCTGACTTGTGATATTTACCTGAATTATCTATTAATGGAGTTCTTACTATTTCATTTCTCAAAGCAAACTTCCTTAGACTTTAGATGACCAAGCGTAATTCAGATTTCAGCTTTGTTATTTTTGTTTAAAATATGTATATGCAAATGTTGATTAGTGATTTTCTTTATCTTTGCCCCCACTGCAAAAAAATTCTAACTCCATCACTGTTTTAGCTATTCCTTTAATACTGATTAGTTAACAAATAATTGCTGCAGTCGAGGGATTCAAAAGGCAAGAGGGCAACTCTGGCTTGACAATCAAGTAATACTTCAATTTGTTCATGTGGTAGAAGCTGTTCTTTGATATTCCTTTCTCCTGAAGATGTCTTCTCTGTTCATTTGTACCTCCTTAATAGTAAATTTGTATATGAATCGATTGTAGTTCGGTTCATCATTTGTTGTATTGGATAATGTAAATTCTTATAGAAATGTTACGAATAAATTAAGAAAAGAGCAATGTCTTCGCAAGTTAAATTTTCTCTGAAATTTTACTTTCATTTATGAAAAATGACAGGGCTTAACGGTCAGCAATGGCTGAAGTAACCCCTAGAGGAAAAGACCAATATTAAAGGAACTACTTGAAAAAAATGTAAATATACTGATTATACTTATATTTGTTGTTTTCAGAATGAATGCTATATTGGTATTTTTTATTTTATAATTCAATCACTCGGATTTCATTAACATGACCCTTTCCCCCACAACACGGTATCATTAACCCATTGGTGAGATGTTTTTTACAGTTGTTTTTCTCTCGGTTTTCGTTGTTGTGTCATCTTTCTGGCATTCACTTTTTTTTCTTGCATTTAGTTTAGTCAGCTTTCATCTTTTGATCTTTTCGGCCTGAGCTAAAAATTACTGCCACTGTGCTCTTGCTGTATTTATGTTGTTCTCATAAAGATTGATATATATATATATATATATATACATATATTGTTGCATGTATATTCAATAATTATTTACATGATAATAATAGTTAATTTTATATTTTTTGTTACCTTAATCGTCGAACTGTAAATTATAGAAACTTGTTCAATCGTTACAAAACTTTTATAAAAATTCATCATGCTATTTAAAGTTAAAAGACATTAAATCTACATATTTTTTTTCTAAAAAATTGAGAACTATTATATATATATATATATATATATATATATATTGGTGATTTTTATTCGTTGGTGTTGTTTGGAAAAGATTTGATCTCAAAAAAATGCAAAGCTTTAATTTTTGACAAGACAGAGACTTCAAAAGTTTAGTCATGGACCATGGCCATATTTAGAATCCCCTGGACGTTCTAGATGAGTTGTGTGGGCTGCTGGACAGAACTAAATTTTTTTACCTTATAAACCCCAATCAAATATTAAAAGGATCAAGTAAAAGTTTAGGTCTCAAAACTTGAGGAAAAAAATGTACCTTTGCCCAAAACACTGACCAAAATGAATTTTCATATCTTAATACAGTAGGGTTAACTTAGGCTTAAGAGTTAAAGGTGATTAATTAAGTGTTATTAGAGTAAGAACAAAGAATTGTACTAAAAAGAACTTAATCTAGACTAGTTATGGTTAATTAATGGACAATTATATTTATAAAGGCCAAAATGGTAGTTTCAATTATAAAATTAATATCATGATTAAAATGATTTAATTTCAAAGTATTATAATGTCCTATGTTACATTTAAATGTTTAACAATTTTTTTAAATTTGTACAAGTTAATTATAAATATTTTAGTGGAAATTAAAAAAAAGAAGTGCAAAATTGTAATTTTTCGGTTTTAAATTAATTTTCATAACTAAAATAATTTATCTTGGTGATAAATTATACAGAGAGCTACCTTTTATCTATTAGGACACGCCATCACTGAAAAAATCTTTTCAATTTCCCTTAATTAGTTTTGTGCTCTATTAGAATTCAAGCTTCCTTTAAAGGCAAGTGGATTGTTCTTCTAAAATCGATTGAACTCATTATATTCCGTAGCTCTACCAACACCAAAATTTTAATTCCACACATCTTGTGCTAAGACCTGTAGAACATCGATAAAGTGCGATTGTACTTTTAGTAAATAAAATCACTAACACTTACACACAAGACACCTAAAATAAATCACGACACACGGGGCTATTTAAATTAAAAATGATACCATGAAAAAACTATATTTAAAAGAAAAACAACAAACTAATGTCATAACCACAAAACTATTCATTTATAACAAATAATAATGATATTTCTTTATTATTTATGTTCATTAAAAATGATGCAACAAAATATAACATGTATGAGTTTAAAAAGGAATTAAAACAACATGACCATGTTCAAAAATAATCTCGCTCAACCATATTCACCACAAGAAGATTATGCTCAATAGGAAGCAAAGTTGTGCTCGATCAACATGTTCGTGTTTGGCATGCAATAAGTGCTCAACTGACACGATTGTGCTCAAGACCAATAGAGTTGTGCTCAACGCCAACAAAGTTGTGCTCCAGTGCTAGAGATGATTTTTCAACAATACTATAGTGAAAAAGCACTCGAGTAATCCAAAAATTGGTATATAGAAGCTGATGGAGGAGCATGGATCAAAGGTTCAACCATCAGAGCCATGACCAGGAGGATATATGAGGACTTGACTAGTTCAGAATTTAGTGGATTTGGTGGGTCCAAGTTACTCTTTACATGGGTCATTTGTTGATATATTGTTTATGTTAGAGTAGAGGCTAATTAGTTTAGATAGTATTTTTCTTAGTCTTGTATTTTGAGCTTTAGGATTAGAGTTTTTGAACCTTGGGCTTATAGGTTTGTATTTGGGTTTAATGAGCCTTAGGTATTTTGGTATCCAATAGGCTTATTTTATTTTTTTTATTATTTCCTAATGTTTAGGATATTTGGGTCGTTGTATTTAAGTCATTAGAGTAGATTTTGATAGAAAAAAAACTTAATTAGGTAAAGATAGTTAAATTAGGTCATATTTATGTTTAATTTGAGATGCATTTTGTGCACATGTGCTAGCTTAAGGTGGGTTGTACTTGATTCGCCCCAAATGACCTCAAAATTAAGTCTAAATGTAACCTAAATGAAATTGGATTTGCACATGAGCTAGCATGTGGTGGCCAAAGAATTTGAAATTCAAATTCCATTTGAATTTCAAATTTTTGATAGTGTTAAAGCCTACAACTTCTATATGTAAAAATCATAATGACTTCAAGTCAAAGAACTACTTTAATATGGTTCCTAGAAGAAACACTCATGCCAATTGCATAAGTATTACAAAGTCTTCTCATAGTGGGTCTATCCCATAAAAATATTACTCTTACTATTTATATTTGTGTCTCGACTTGATATATTATATCTATTACACGTGAAATGTGGTCTTTAGTTAACTTACACAATAGTCTTAATACTATTGTCATTCTACTAAATAACAATACTTAATTACATACACTTTTAAGAATAACTTTTTAATCGATAGAATCTCATAATCAAGTCACGCTAAATATATTTTTGAGTGAACAAACTATTCTAAAAATATTATTATGTTATTCAATACAAAACATAATAACTGAAAATGTGTTTTTTTATATAAATAATAAAATATCTATATATTAAAGTCATGAAACAAATGAAAGGATTGACTAATAGAACTCATTCTAACTATACAAACGCTTTTAACTATAATAAAATCTACCGATGACTTGTCAAAACACAAAGTATTAAAAGGATACTATGGCCTTAGAGAAATCAACATGCTTCATATGAAAATCCTAAATTAAGCACACTCCCAAAGTAAAGATCATCATATCCTTAATGACCTTAACATATGTTTTAAGTATCATGTGATCAAAATAATGAAAAATATTTTATTAAATTTGTGGTATTTAAAATATTTAATCTATACAATTAACTGACCGATTAAGATATTAATCTATACAATTTTCTTTTTTTTTTTTAAATTATGTATATTTATAACTTTATAATTATATTTTAAATAAAAATAATATTATATTTATATTTTACTAGTGTTTAGTCTGTACTATGTATAGTACGTATTTGATTATTGTACTGACCGTACCGCGAGGCCGAGCTCCAAGCTCGGCACCACAGTGCAAGATGATCTCGGGCACGCGTCATACGACGTCAGCTCGACATTCAGGTGAATCACAACTGATTCCCGAGGATCTCGCCCATACGAGATCCATTATCTAATCACTGATTACCGAAGATCTCGCCTCAGACGAGATCCGCTATCATATCTTATCTCAGGCCCAGAGCCCAGAACAAACCTAATTCACTCCAAGGTACGTGCATTACTTATACGAGACTATCACTCATACAAACCCTAACTTTAGCATCGGAGTCTCTTTTGCAGGTACCATCCCCATCTTGGAGCACCAGCGTACCCGTGAAGGAGGCTCACCAATCTTACATGGAAGATCGTCCCTACGACAAATTCTGGTAAGAACATTTGGCGCCCACCGTGGGGCCGATCGAGACAGCTCTTATCGGTCACCCGTATGGTACTCACCAGAAGCCACAACAGACGTGCAACAGAGGACGCTGAACACTCAGTTACCATGGACAGCGACGCTGCAACCTTGAGAAGGCTGATCGACCAAGTCGAACAGATGCGCCAGCAGCATGACACTGACCTGCGCAACATGCGTGCCAAACACGAAGCCAACCTAGCAGCAATGCGGACATCCAATGAAGCAGACCTCGCAGCGCTGCATGAAGAAAACGAGCGCATTCGCGCCCAACTCCCTCGACGCCCCTCTGATCGCCCTCCTCACGGGAGCAACATCCCTTTGTGGACGACATCATGGAGACTCCACTCCCCCGAGGATGGAAGCCTTTCCATCTCGACCGCTATGACGGCACGATGAACCCCGATGAGCACATTGACCTATACACAACCCAGGTAAACCTCTACACTAACAGTGATGCTATCTTGTGTAGGGTTTTTCCGACCCCGCTAAAAGGGGCCGCACTCCACTGGTACACCCAGCTACCTGCCGAGTCCATCGACAGCTTCGGTACCTTAATCTGTCGGTTCACGGCACAGTACGCCACCAGCCGACCTCACCACACAACCTCCACTGCATTAGCCAACCTCAGGCAGAGTGATGATATTATCTTATCTCTAATCGATATGGGATTCAAGTTTTTGTTAATAAATAATTGTTGTTAATAGTAAACTTTAGTATAATATAAATACATTTTTAGTGCTCTCTAATTATTTTATAACACTATTGAATTTGGTAATAATGGGTGATTTGATACCAATTTAGAATAGTGAATTAGGAGTCAACCTTAAACCTGTAAGGTGATAGTTATTACTCATTTATATACTATTTAATTATTTTATCTCTAATCGATATGGGACTCAAGTTTTTTCTAATAAATAATTATCGTTAATAGTAAATTTTAGTGTAATATAAATATATTTTTAGTGGCTATTATATATTAGCAATTAATATTTTTATAT